CGACCTATAGTCTAGGTTTATTACTTTTTCATCCATGGATAAGGCAGTCATATCTCCTGAGATCTATAAATGAAGGGGCGGGTAATTAATTTCGATTTGAAAAAATATTTTTTATAGTGTATACAACCTAAAAAATTGTTCATAAACTACTTGACCTACTATAACATTAGATCATGTCAGCTATTGTAACTAAAATCGTTGAAAAATACACCCTCGTCCCAAAGATGAGGGACTCTGAACTTAGCCAATATACCTCAAAATTTCTTGAGAACCTTACCGATGATAGAAAGCGGAATCAAGCTTGACGACGTCTTCGGGATGGCTTTAAATTTAGCAGTAATCAGGTGAGCATATTGATACCCAACCAGAGAAGTGGGAAAATTAAAACTATAAATATTATCGAAGGTAATTGTAGACCTGAAGGGTCTTTGCTTTGCAATAGAATAGTTATAGCATCGCCCCCAAAAAATCCGGAAGAAGAAATTATCAGAGAGATAGCAAAACGAATCTTGCAAAATAGATATGGGTTTAGTGAGGATCAAGTAAATGCCTTATTCTCGATCCAGAAAAATGGAAGTAGCCACAGTGTAACTACCTCAGATAAAAACGTAAATATGTGCCTTGGCACTAGCCCCGCTATTGCGATTTCCAACAAACTCTTGAAAGGGATGGAGGAAGAAACTATTGGAGATATAGCACAACGGATTTTACGGGATAAACTTAGCGTTAGAGATATAAGAGCTGAAGCTTACGCCTTAGCCCTATCAGCAAAAAATGCCAATGCTGGTTCATCACGTCTTTCCTGTCTCAGAAGAGAATTAAGAAACCTTGGTGCTTTACCCGCAATAGTCGAGGCCACGAAATTTCCAGATATTACAGAAGATGCTAACAAAATCCAGAGGGATAATCAGAAAAAGGCTGAAGCTAATCGTATTGACTATCCGGATCATTTTACATTGGAGTCGGTTAAGGAAAGATTAGATGAGTATGATATTAAAACTTTACCCGATTGTCAAGCTCTCGCTGATGTTATAATAATGCTCTGTATTCGTCCCTCTGAGCTTACATCTTTACGTATTACAGATGCTGGCGTGATAGGCTATGCGAAGAATAGGGGACAACTAGATATTCCTCGAAAATTTAGATCTATGGAAAAGAATCAAGAAAGAGCTAAGGAATTGCTTACATGGATTCAGAATGCTATATCTTCTGGTCGAATGGGTAATCCAGGTAAGCCAGGAGTTAAATGGTTCAATAGATTCTTAAAAGACTATGGTTTAATTCCTAAATACTTACGTAAATTGGGAGCAGTTTATGGTGCAGTAGTACATGCTAAAAATCCAGCACATTTTATGACAATAGCTGGAGAATGTCTACGTCACAGCCCAGATAACCACACTTCTCCTGTACAAAATTACGTTGTTGTAAATTACAGAAAAAGAAATACCCCTCCTGAACAAGCAAGACCATTTCGGATCTATGATGAGAATTAATAACAGATTAGTAAAGAAACCTCTGAATGAAATAGTAGAGCACCTGAATGGGGTCACATCTATACCTAAAGATATTCAGAATTTTCGATTTGGATGTGTGTAACAAGGGGATGATTCAGTGATAGAATATTTTGTAAAAATAAATAAATGCAATAAATCATTCGAATATAAAGAAGAGCAACTGAAATATCAATTCTTACGTGAATTAACACCTGACAATCAGTTGGAAGTCAGAAGATGTGGATTGGAACTTTCATTAGACGAGCTAGTAGAGAAACTGAGTAAAATTGAGAATATCAGGAAAATCCATAGTATATGCACCTAAATTAATTATCCAAACATTAGTTGTTTTTTCCATTAAAGATATACATATAATATATATTCTTGAAAATGGCACAACTATTGCGGAGCAGGCCGTTAGACAGTTCTTCGAATCATGACCCAAAGGGTTTAAATATTTTTGATCTACCAGAATTGTTAGAACAGATCTTATATTTTTTAGAAATCGATCGATCCCTTTATCCTGCTTTATTTGTCAACCATCTTTGGTATCACTGCAGTGCTCCTATTCTATGGCATCGCATTGAATTTTTCAACGAAGATTATCAGAAGAGCTGGCGTGCCCTAAACATGTCCCGGGTTCTTACTTGGCGATTGATAAACTTTAAAAGAGTTATGCGTAGAAAAATAAAGCCACTCTATTGTTCAAAGATGGCATATCTCAGATTAGAAGGTTTAAAAATCTCAGATGCGTTAATCAGCGCAATTTTGTATTCATGCCCAAATATACGCTTTCTTATTCTTGATAAAAGTAAGGGTTTCTCTAACATACCAATTATAGAAATTGCAAGATATTGCCCAAAGCTATTACATCTGAGTCTTAATTCATGTATATGCCTCACTAATCGGTGTATCACTGAAATTACTCGCTCGTGCCCAAAACTTAGACATATTGAACTTGGTGATTGTTCGATTGGTAATAAAGCTGTCGAGGAGATAGCCCACAACTGTACTAATTTGAAATATCTTAGTTTGAAGGGATGTAAAGGGATTAGCAAAGAAGTAATGAAAAAACTCGATCCAAAAATTAAAATCGAACATCCTGATTTTTCAGATAATGAATGGTCTAATTCTGATCCACCTATTCTAATCCTTAGAGGTCCATCATTAGATAGAACAGATTTTATTCCTGTATTCAGTAATTATGTCGAAGCATCATCAAATTCAATTAATCTAGAACGAGATAATATATTAAATAGTCTTGCTCGGGTCATTGATCAAGGATTATATTGTTCGTGGCAAGGTCTTTAGAAAGATCGACCGTTTTGATTCTGGAACTTATTATGCTGAGGGTGACACTTCTGATTCCGATACCAATCCTGATACTAATACTGAACCCGAACCTAAATCTCAGCCTAAGAATTATAATCCTTTTGATGCCCAAATCGCAGAAATAGATTCTATGTTAGCAGAAAATGCGAAGTTAGACTATTAGTATCGGTTCCAGTGGAATTCCTAAATAAAACTCTTACGTTGCTCGATGGAACTAGTTATGAGGTTAAGTGCAATTGAGAATATCCGGAGAATGCATAGTATATATGCCTAAAATTTCGTACCATGTTGCATATTTCGTAATACAATAAATAATTAATATGATGCACATTACACTTAGGAAACATGAAATAGAAAATAATGTATTATGCAGAGTGGGTTACAAAGTACCCTAACTTTATTTATAAAGCAAAAAAAAATTAATAAAGTTATGAATATTTCGCTTTTGCGCACTCATTACATTCATTGTAATTTTTTTTTTCATATTGCAAATTAGATTCCGATACCAATTTCGCTAACACAGATCATATAAATTTTTATACATAACAAAGAAAGTATAATAATAAAGCAATAATAGTTTGATCTGTTGATTATAAATTTTATGTTAAGACTTGAAGTATATCATTAAAATCTATGTTCGCTCCACATCCTAATACAAGATGCCTATTCCATTTCATCTTGTACCAACGAACTGTATTGCCCACGGGCCAATGGCCGAGATATGGAGCATGAGAAGGACAAGCCGTTTTGGGTGTTCCCACCATTGAAGCAACATCTGGATTTGGATTTGCTGGAAAGGCAGTTTCAGTAGCCGGAACAACAATTATTACAAATTCTGTGGTCAGGCAGTAGGGTCGAATGCATGCAAATTTATTCATGGCATTATCACGATCCCCAGAATTGTCATAGGTCACCTATAAATATTTGATTAGGCTGATTGTATCAAGAATTAGTTGCATAATTCTGAAGATAAGGGAATAAGATCTTCACCTCGATCCACAGCAACGGTGGTGGACATAGATTAATTATAGGGTTAAGCCTTTGATTACGTGCTGGTTTAGGATTCCAACTGCCCACATCAGGTCGATACTGATTACCGTTAACCACACATATTGTATCAATTTGAGTCCCCCAAGTTGGTGGGAGTTGTTGATCAAGTGAATACACTACTTTCTTATGTATTTCTGCTTTAATCCAACCATTAAACTTGAATAGTAACAAAAGAATTAGAAAATGCATGTAAAATAATTATAAAACAAAAATGGTACCTTACCTTGATGAACAATTTATTGTCAACAATTTCAGCATTAAAAATATCATGGATCGCTTCAAAAATTTTATCACGTTTCTTGCCCTTGGCCTTTATTTCTGGTAATTCAAGTTCTATAATATCCACATCATGCATTTCGCGTAGTTCTTCATTAACTTCATTTTCGATTTGACTGATCACCTAGGAGAAATGGACTGTTGGCTTAATTCAAAATATATGTTTCAAAAAAAATGGAATGCATTATTATACCTTGGATTCTGCATTATCTTGAATCAAGTCAACAAGCTTTTTAAAGGCACTTTGTACTCTTTGTACTGTGTTATAAGAATGTGCAAAGTTCCTTTTATAAGACTTTTGGATAAATATTTATTTCATGTTTTTTTAATTAACAATAAAATAGTACCTTTACTAATTAAACGACCACTAACCCCACCGATCCCAAAACTACTCTCTACTCCTAAAAATGTGATTGCCATTGCACTATATATAAGATTGGTTATTATATTTTTTTATGGGTAAAATAATCGGTTAATTGGTCAAATAGTTGCGAGTTATTTATTTAATTCATTATCAACTTATTGTGAAAAATAATTACTTTGCCTCATAAAAATTAGATAGTATGCCAAGTGGTAGAACAGGATATTTATTACCGAACGCAAAGATCCATTTTTTTAGCAAGCAAAGGAGTCTTATAGATATTATCATTGAATCTTGTCGTTATTCCATATTTGACACCTGGAGCATATCATATAAACTACATACAAAAGAACCAGTTTCGCATAATCATTTGCTAATAATGTTGGGTCACAACACCAACATCTCAATTCTTTTTTATGAATATTTTTTCTTGTCATCTGAAGATAAACCTTATTTCAACGAATTTCAAACTCCAAAGATTCCTGATTTGGAATATGTGACGAGTAACTTTTGCTAGATCAGAGAAATATTAACTGATGAAATGTGGTAATTGACCTAGAGCACGTAAAAAACAAGCTGTTGAAGATGGAAAATTGAGGAAGTCATAGTGATGTTTTTCAAAATAATAATAAATACTTTTTTATTCATATACTAAAAATATTAATTTTTTTTTTAAATATTTTTTTATAATGCGTCAAAATTTATAACATGTGACGCTTTTTTCTTTTCTAATTCGTCTTCTCTCTATAAATATTAAATGAACAACAGTAAAAGAAAAATTAATTAATAATCAATAATTTTATAAAATCAAACTATTATTTGTTTACCTTTTCCATCCAATGTAATGCTGCAACAATAATTGCTAAAATTACGGTAGCTATAACTAATGTAATTAATACCCATGGAATCCAATCACCGGGATGAATATATAATTCCAATAACCACCTGTTTATAATTGTATGTATGTATAAATATTATAAATATTATATAAATTGCATCACTAATTAACATTGGCTTATAATAAACGTACGTGTAAGCGTCATTTATATCATCAGGTTGATATGGTACAATAATAAGTTGAGAATTTGGAATTACCCCAGAAAATGAAGTGTAATGATAAGTCTATTATTATTGTTTTATTATTATATATTATTATAAATTAAATAACAATTCATTCAAAAAAAATTTTTGTAAAAAATTAGTAAAAAAATATATAATTTCGTTTTAAAATTAAATTAATGTATTAATATTAATACCTGATTACGTGTAGTACCCACAAACAATTCCTCGACATAATTATTTGTACGGCCAAGTCCAAAGAGCGAGTATGGTGTTTGTAAATAAAGGTATCCAACTTGAGAATACTGGGCAACTATTTAAAAATTCATTTTTTTGTTCATTTAACTTTTAAGCCGTTCAAATATTTAATTTTAACATTAAATAAAGAAAATAATACCTTGATTTGCTCTTTTATTTCCATATGTATCTACAACAGTGAATTTAAATGCCGAACCTGGATGATTTACTCCATAGTTCTATTAAATCAACACAATGACAATTATTATTAAAGAAGATATTGTTTATTAAACAAGAAATACATTCGTATAAAATACAATACCTGTTTTTGTGATACACCGTTTAACACTACAAAATACAAGGATACAAAACACATCTTTATTGTTATTATTATTATTACAGAAAAAAATAAGCAATTATATATTATTGGTTGTTAAACATACTTAAAGTTTTCAAAAAGAATGCATCATTGAAGTAATCGTTATTTAACAAGTAAACATCTCTTGCTGCATCGTTGGTATTTAAATTACCAAGGACCACAATATCCAATGTTCCCTATAATATAAATATAATTAAAATCATTATGGGTAAATCATCTTATAATAAAGCATATATATAAATATTCTCGCCTTATGCCAAAAAAAAGGAGAGATAAATAATAATAATTACATCTTCATCAATATCAAAGAAGGCAGCACCTTTTGCATTTTTAATTTTATTTAATGAATGTGCCCCATCTACCACTTTAAAAAATGTACGTCTTTGAGCTTTAACTGCTAATGGATCACAAAGTTCAAGTGTACATGCTGTTGATTGTAAAAGTGAAACCAAACTTTCAGAGTTTTTTTCACTAATGACAAGAAGATCAGGAAAACCGTCTAAATTGTAATCACCTATATATGTATTTTTTATGTAATTATTATATATTAATTAATCGATACAATAAAGTATAGTAAAGAAGAAAAACCTACCAATTCTGATCGGAACGGGCAATATTCCATTGAATGATCGGTCTTTGGTAACAATTGTTCCACCATCTAATAAATCTTTAACGTCTATAACCATATATGCCTAAATTTTATTTTCCATATGTATATATATATATATATATATATATATATATATATGTAAATTTCATTATGAATTATAGTAAAAAACAAAAGTTGTACTAGATAGTTTACATCATTATCTGGATCATCGTTTAAATTAAATCTAAAGTCATCATCAGGTTCACATAAATTTGATATTTTTCGACAATTTATTTGGTCTTTACTCGTACATAAAGGTTTTTGTTTATTGTAAGCTATATGAATAGCGCATTCAGATCTTTTGCAAACTGGAAACACCATATCTATTGCTCCATCTCCATCTATTATTTATATAATATATATATATATATATAAAATCAAAAATTAAAAAAGATAATTTGTAAAGATCAATCACTATTGTAATTATTATTATTATTATTACCACCAACCTATATCAGCAAATGTAATGGGTCCTGCATCTGTAGGCAATTCGCCATATCTAGTAAGTACATATCCTTGATCTTTTTGATTAACCCATATTTGGTATGATGTTTCTCTGAACTCCTCCTCGCATGTCAAGAATAAATCTAATGTCCCAATCAATGAATGATATTATACATTAATGTATACCTAAGGGCATATGTATTCAAATATAAATTTCCGTCTACTTACCTGAAAAACAATCACCATTGAGATCTATAAAAGCATTCGAGTGTGGTTCTGATAATCTACAACCTTTTTGTGGCATTGTTTTATTGTTAGTTGACAGTGGAACTCTTAAAAATAGAATTATATTATTATTGTGATTAGTTTGATTATTGTCAATATTAAAATCCTCTCATTAGAAACACACTTTCTCCTAATAAATCAATAATGGATCAATGAAAAACTCTTGGTGATTTTTCTTTAATCCAGATTTAATTTTATGATATAACGAATGAATGTCATCTCAAACCAATATCATCAACAACAAATAATAAAATCCAGCTAACTAAATAATCATAACAAATATCAATTTTAGATTTCTTACATTTCAAATAATGTTCCAGCGGATTCATTATATACATTTTTCCATACATATAATTTGTTGTCTTGTGCAGATGATAAATAATGTCCGAGTAAATCAGTTTTCATATCACCATTAAAATCAAATGTTATTGGATGTTGTGAATATGATGCATCAAGCTCAATGTATTTAGAATCTAAAGAATAAAATGAAAAAAATAAATAAAATAATAAATTTTTTAGAGGGGGATTGAAAAAAATAGATCAATTACTAACTGAATGTAGCATTATCGTATCCAAAATACACTCTCATATACAATGGCTCATTTTTTCTAAACACACTTGATGGATTAGTTTGTCCCATCAACAATAGATCCAAATTTCCATCATAATTATAATCTCCCGGTATTACATTTGTAATCAAAAATTTATTTGGTTGATCATCTGATATTTCTATATCTGACGAGTTTGCCTTAGTAAAGTTGAATGATTCTACCATCAATATAATTACAATCATTATCATTATTATTATCAAATAAAAATTAAAGAGAAAAAATCGAAATAAATAAATAAAATTATTATTGCTAACCATGGTTCCATAAATATATACTGATTGATGTTTGACTAAAATCTAAAACAACTAAATCAGTACTAAATATAAAATTTATAAATTTATAAAAAATAAATCCTTTTGTCAAAAAAAAAAAAAATCCATTATTTAATGCTTTTTGAAAAAAATATATTTTACAATTTATCCGAGTTAAAATCGCCGAAAGCTGCCACTGTTCCAGAAATATTTTGCAAACCAGTATCTTTTAATGGTGTCAATCCATTAGTCAGCGAATGTTTGCCATTTCTACTAAAAAAACTTGAATCTATCGAAGGTAGATATAATAGCGTTATTAGAGAGAATATGTATATAATTTTTATAAGAAATAAAGTCATTCCTAGTATTAAAAAAAAAAGATGTTTGAATCACAATGAGAACTGTGAATTTGAAATTTTCATGGCTATTTTATGTTGTGCAAAAAATAAACTTTTTTTCCATTTATAGTGCAAAATAATCAACTAATACTAAATAGCCTTTACCCAGCAAATGGGTTTAGGGATTTATTTGATTTGTTAGCTTGTTATGGTTATTTTATTTATTTTTTTTAATTATATATCTTCAAAAATAAATGATACACGAGTAGCTATGTTTCATTTACCTATTACGCAATGCAATATACCAGGGTTGGCAATAGACTAGGTCCATTGAGACCAATGAGTTTTGGGCTGTTAATAAAATAAATACTAAATATGGTAATGTTTAAAATGTTACAACAATGGGCCAGTTGGTCAGTACCTGCAATATACTATTTTATCTAATGTTGTTTGAACGAAATGTTACCAAAGTTGTAAAACTATTAAATCAAATGGCGTAAGTAAAATTGCTTTAAAGGCTAATAAATTTACAATAAAATGAAATTTTATGCTACAACAAAATGTTTTGTAGTATTGCAAAATTTGATCAGTTTTGTCCGCATTTTAAAAAAAGTAAAGAGATAAAAAAAAAAAAATAAAAATACATTTCCCATTTCAACAATAGATTTTTTTTTTTGACAATTTTTAACTGAAAACATATGACCAACTGCCAGAAGCAAATAGCTGTTAATGAAAAATTTCTATCTTTAAATAGTGCGCTGTCTTTTTAATGATCCTTTTAATGTTTTCAGGAATTCCAAATGATTTTTTTCAAAAATTTGTTCTACATTTTTACTATCAATGATGTCAATAAAATGATTATGTTTTCTTCGTGTGTTTTGTGGGTACATGTTTGTAACAAATGCTGCTCTCGAAAGATCAGCAGGATATGCAACAAGAACACATATAAGTCCATTTTACATTGCCTTTCCATATTTGAAATAATTTCATTATGTTCTTTATGCCTATTACCATTTTTATCTCTGTAAAATAATGCAGGATCAGTTGAGGATAAAGCAATTCCTGCATGTACAGAAAACCGCAACTTGGCCTGACATTAGTGATGGTCACCAAAACTAAGGAGTTTTGAAATTGTTTAGTTTTGATAAGTTTCGAAACTAGTTTCACAATGATC